CAAAGTGTCAAATTTTTCATTTAATTCTCCATGAATTCAAGGGAAAAGGAACTTCGTGGCAATGAGCCATGTGTTGTTGTGGCCATAACTATTATCTCACCAAATACTTTCCTAGGAAGACATCGAATCATATTAGGGTTCATAATTTGATAGAATTTTTTTTTTTTTTTTGGGTCGGAAAATCTCAAATTGGTCGAAAATTTCAAATTGGTCAAAAATTTCAAATTGGTCGAAAATTTCAAATTGGTCAAAAATTTCAAATTGGTCGAAAATTTCAAATTGGTAGAATTTTTTTTTTAATTTTTTTCAAATATGAAAATTGTAATAGAGAAAAAAACAAAACAAAAAAAATTCGTAATTGGGAGAAAAAAATTTTTGGTCGAAATATTAAATAATTGGTCGAAAACTTCAAAATTGGTCGATTTTTTTCAAATTGATCGAAATTGTTTAGTTTTTTTTCGAATATGAAAAAATTACAAGAGAAGCAAACAAAATGTAAACAAGTAAAAAAGGAGTAAGTTCGGCCGGGCCGAACTTTGAATACCCTCCACCATTTGGAACGAATTAGAAAATTTTCAAAAAAATAAAATCCAATAAAAATTCTTTTAAAATCTTTAAAATATCTAATATAGGAAGGTGCCGATATATGGGGGGATATACGATATTGTGGACCTATAAAGACAAATCTATATCTGCGTGTAAAGTACTCACAAGGAACTCCGTGTGTGGATTTTCAGACAATACGATTGGAAAATGTGGCTAAAATCATCAAAATACCGAATATCGCGGGGTACCGATATATGGGAGCTATACGTTATCGTTAACCTATATAGCGAATTCTCTGTCGGTGGGTAAAGTGCTCACAAAGAACCCCTTGTGTACAAAGAACCCCTTGTGTACAAAGAACCCCTTGTGATCATTCCGTTGAAAAATATGGCTAAAAACATCAAAATACCGAACATCGGAGGTACCGTTATATGAGGGTATACAATATCGTGGATCTATATAAATAATTCTCTGCCGGGGTATAAAGTACCTACAAGGAACTCCTTGTGTGGATTTTCAGACAATTCCGATGAAAAATGTGGGTCAAATCATAAAATACCGAATATCGGGAGTTACCGTTATATGGGGGATATACGATATCGTGGACCTGTATAGACAATTCTCTCTCAGGGGGTGAAGTACTCACAAGGAACTACTTGTGTTGATTTTAAGACAATTCCATTGAAAAGCGTGGCTAACATCATCAAAATACCGAATATCGGAGGTTACAGTTATATGGGGGATATACGATATCGTGGACCTATATACACACTTCATTTTGAGGAGGTAAAATGCCCACAAGGGACTCCTTTTGTGGATTTTCAGACAATTCCGTTGAAAAATGTGGGTAAAATCATCAAAAACCAAATATCGGGGGGTACCGTTATATGGGGGCTATACGATATTGTGGACCTATATAGATAATTCTCTGCCGAGGTATAAAGTACCCACAAGGAACTCCTTGTGTGGATTTTCAGACAATTCCGTTGAAAAATGTGTGTAAAATCAGCAAAATACCGAATATCGGGGGGTACCGTTATATGGGGGCTATACGATATTGTGGACCCATATATATGTAATTCTCTGCCGAGGTATAAAGTACCCACAAGGAACTCCTTGTGTGGATTTTCAGACAATTCCGTTCAAAAATGTGGGTAAAATCTTCAAAATACCGAATATCGGGGGGTACCGTTATATGGGGGCTATACGATATTGTGGGCCTATATAAATAATTCTCTGCCGAGGTATAAAGTACCCACAAGGAACTCCTTGTGTGGATTTTCAGACAATTCCGTTGAAAAATGTGTGTAAAATCAGCAAAATACCGAATATCGGGGGGTACCGTTATATGGGGGCTATACGATATTGTGGACCTATATAGATAATTCTCTGCCGAGGTATAAAGTACCCACAAGGAACTCCTTGTGTGGATTTTCAGACAATTCCGTTCAAAAATGTGGGTAAGATCATCAAAATACCGAATATCGGGGGTACCGTTACATGGGGGCTATACGATATCGTGGACCTATATAGATAATTCTCTGCCGAGGTATAAAGTACCCACAAGGAACTCCTTGTGTGGATTTTCAGACAATTCCGTTGAAAAATGTGGGTAAAATCATCAAAATACCGAATATCGGGGGGTACCGTTACATGGGGGCTATACGATATCGTGGACCTATATAGATAATTCTCTGCCGAGGTATAAAGTACCCACAAGGAACTCCTTGTGTGGATTTTCAGACAATTCCGTTGAAAATGTGGGTAAAATCATCAAAATACCGAATATCGGGGGGTACCGTTATATGGGGGCTATACGATATTGTGGACCTATATAGATAATTCTCTGCCGAGGTGTAAAGTACCCACAAGGAACTCCTTGTGTGGATTTTCAGACAATTCCGTTCAAAAATGTGGGTAAGATCATCAAAATACCGAATATCGGGGGGTACCGTTACATGGGGGCTATACGATATCGTGGACCTATATAGATAATTCTCTGCCGAGGTATAAAGTACCCACAAGGAACTCCTTGTGTGGATTTTCAGACAATTCCGTTGAAAAATTTGGGTAAAATCATCAAAATACCGAATATCGGGGGGTACCGTTATATGGGGGCTATACGATATCGTGGACCGATATAGCCCATCTTCGAACTTGACCTGCCTGCAGACAAAAGAGAGATCTGTGCAAAATTTTAGCTTCCTATCTTAATTCGTTTAGACTGTAGCGTGATTACAACAGACGGACAGACGGACAGACGGACAGACGGACAGACGGACAGACGGACGGACAGGGCTAGATCGTCTTAGAATTTTACGCTGATCAAGAATATATATACTTTGTTGGGTCTAAAATGATTATTTCGATGAGTTACAAACGGAATGACAAAGTTAATATACCCTCCATACCTTTTTTGGTGGAGGGTATAAAAAGGTCATATTGGGCGAAAAAAAATATTTTTGGTCGAAAATTTTAAAATTGGCCGGATTTTTTTTTCTTCTTCCAAATATCAAAATATGATAAAGAAATTACGTTTTCAACAATAAAAAACATAAAATATAGGTAATTGAGAAATTTTATATGTCTGAATAATTGGTCCTAAGAAAATTAAGGCTGCCGCAAATTTAATTCCAGAAGTATTGTATAGGCCACAAAGAGCAATGGCGAAATAAAATATCAGATATATTTTTTTCAGGAAATTATTTACATTTCTCCGGAATATTAAAAATTGGTCGGAAATTTTTTAAAATTGGTCGGACCTTTTTCTTCCAAAATATAAAAAAAAAATTGATTAAAGTAATTACGTTTTCAAAAATAAAATGTAAAATATAGGTAATTGAGAAATTTTATATGTCTGAATAATTGGTCCTAAAATTAAGGATGCCGCAAATTTTATTCCTGAGTGTGGGTCACGAAGAGCAATGGAGAACTAAACTTATATCAGGGTTCATATTTTGGTGGACATTTTGTTTTGTTGAAAAAAATTATTTTTTTTTTCGAAAAAATTTAAATTTGTCGAAATTATAAAAATTTGTCGATTTTTTTTGTTAATAATCAAATTTTGATAAAAAAATACGCTTTCAACAATAAACAACAGAATATATGTAATTGAAACAAGTAAAGAAGCTGTAAGTTAGGTCGGCCCGAACCCCACCATTTGGAACGAATTTGGCAATTCTCAAAAACAATAAAATCCGTTAAAATCTTAGAAATACCGGATGTAGCCGTTACATAAAGGTTCAATACGACAACATGGATTTTTTCATAAGCCATTACAATATTCAAATGCGAAACTTAGAAAAAAATCGGTGAATAATGTATGTAAAAGCATCAAAATACCGAATATCGGGAAGTACCAATATATGGAGGCTATACGAAGACGTGGGCCGTGGACAGACAATTTTCTGTCTAAGGCTGTAGTATCCATTTCGAACTTCAAATACCAAATTTGAAACAATTCCGATGAATAATGTCGGTAAAATCATCAAAATACCGAATATAGGGAGGTTCCATTATATTTGGACTATACAAAAACGTGGATCTACCTGGCCCATTTTCAATACCAAAAGTCCTGCAGACATAATACACATTTGAGAAAAATTTTATCAACCTACTTCATTTCGTTCGGAAGCTAGAGTGATTTCCACAGACGGACAGACGAATAGACGGACGGACATCGGACCGGGTTAATTCTTTGGTCGAAAAATTTAAAATTGGTCGGAAATTTGTCTTTTCTTCGAAAAATTTAAATTAAATGAAAACGTACGCAAAACAGTGAAAAGTAACAAATTTAGAAAAATATAAAAAAAAATGTTAAAAAAAATCTTACATTGGTCGGAACATGTATAAATTGGTCGGAAGTTTATTTTGAACTAAATATAGAAACTTGATGAAAAAAATAATTTTTCAGCAATAAAAAACTATGTATGGTTGGGAAAAATCTATAATTTAACAACAGGAAAGAGTTTATATTTTGGGCAAAAAAATAATTGTTGGTAGAAAATTTTAGAATTGATGGACTTTTTTAAATTCATCAGATCCATTTGTTGTTCATGCTTTTAAAACCTCACCAAATTGTTTCTTATGAAAAAAAAAACGAAAAATCATTTAATTCTTTGGGAGAAAAAATTGGTCAGAAAATTTTAAATTGGTCGGAAGTGGTAATTTTTTTTAAATAAGATGAAAACGTAAGTAAAACGGAACAAAGTTACAATTTTGGAACAAAATCGTCGGAAATTCATAAATTGATCGAAAAATATATAAATTAGTCAAAAGATTTTTTCGACCAAATATATAAATTTGATGAAAAAAAAATAATTTTCAGGAATAAAATATTATGCGTAACTAGGAAAAATCTATTGAAGAAGAAAAAACAAAAGAAAAGAGTTTATATTTTGAGCAAAAAAATAATTTTTGGTAGAGAATTTTCAAATTGGCCGACAATTTTTAAATTAGTTGGAGTCATGTGTTGTTTGGGCATTACTATTATCAAAACAAATAGTTTCTTGGGAAAACATAAAGAATAATAGAACCAATTCTTTGGGAGAAAAAAATGTTCGGAAAATCTAAAATTGGGTGGAAGTTTTTATTTTTTTTTTTTCAAAAATTTAAAATTAGGTGAAAAGTAAACAAAACAGAAAAAAGTTACAATTTTGGAAAAAAAACAACAATTTTTGGTAGAGAATTTTAAAATTGTTCAAAATTTTTTAACTAGCAACTATTTTTTTTTTTTTTTGAAATGGCAACCCTTTGTCATAATAATGATGATGTATTTTTTGCCCGGTGCCTGCGAAGTTGAAATATCATGAAAGCTGAACCTTAACAGATGTTTTCTTGCAGATAGCCTGCATGGCTGCTCCCACACTTTTTGTCCACAGTAGCTGATGTTTAGCCACTAAGTCAATATAATAATGTGTGGCATAGGATACACACATATTTACATCATACACGTACATCTTGATAGTAAACCAGATCAAAAGTCTGAAAAACTTGTGTCATCATCACTTGTTTGATACTAGAAATGCAGAAGAAACACATAAACAACTAAGTTTTTTTCAAGAGTTTTAGAGGGTACAAAATTTTAAAATTTTAAAATTTTATTAATATGCGGGTTTTTCATAATTCACAGGCCCTTGAAAATATTTCAAATAAACCACTACCTAAATAGTATCGCCATTTCCATATATAGATGGCAGCACCTTGATTTCTCTTCAAATGCCTATTTTTCGTATTTAAATTGCCTCAAGAGTTTTCATATTTTGTCGGGACATTTAGGTCCCATATTCAAATAACTTATTTGCACGCGATGAAAAAAATCCAAAATCATATTCCACTTACCTTCAATTTTCTTCTCCTGCTCTAGATGGGCTAACATATCCTGGTCCTCTTCCTCCATTTTCAAAGACTCCTCCTCCTCCTCCTCCTGCTCCTCATCAGTTTGCACCGTGACCGCAGAGCTCGGCAATTTCTCCCCAACACTTTGCATCGAATCCAACGAAGATGAGACCAAAATTTCTCTGGAATCTCTTTCGGATATATCCGAAGATGAGCGATTGGCATTTGGCAAATTTATGGTCTCCAATAAATCACCCGAGGCAGTTTGACTGAGTAACGGAACTTTTGATTCAAAAGAAAATTGTTTCTCCACCACAGAAGGTAGCTTATCACTGGCTAAGGTAATGATGGGCCGCTGTGGTGCGGAATCTTTCTTTAAATCAGCCGAAGGTATAATAATATGATGTTCCACACCCACAATAATACGTTCCATGGGTTTGGGTATTTCAATTATCGGAGTGGTTGGACTGACATCTTTGGGTGGTAAAACTATGGAGGCTGTGGTCTCCAGGGAACCTCTACGCTTGGGTATGGGTTTGGCGCCCGAATCGGCACTGTTTCGGCGTTGAGGTACAGGTGGCTTGGGTTTGGGAGTGGGTTTAGGTTTCATTTTCGGAGAGGTGGGAGTTGATTCCTCTCCATTTTCCGCCTTGGTTTTGCTCTTTTCACTGCGCTTAAGTTTGGGTGAGGCTTTGGGCGAAGACTTGGGAGATATTTTAATGGTCTTGGTGGTGGTTTCTTTGTGCGACAGTTTTTCTCTAGCAATGGGAGATTTTGTGCCAACCTTCTCGGAAAGTTTCCTGGTTGTCTCTTCTATGGTGGTGATTATTTCCGCTATCGCAGATTCTTTCTTTTCTTTTCCGATAATTTTTTTGTGCAATACATATTCAGGTTCTTCCTTGAGTATGTCATCCGAGGAACTGGGTGAAATGACAATGGGAGAGCTGAGTATCTCACTGGCTGATTTTGAGGGACTTGGGAGTTCATCTTCCAAGTGGTGAGCTGCCAAGCTCTCTAGCTTCTCATCGTTATCAGACATTTTTTGAGAGCCACTCTCTTCCTTGGCAGGAGAAGCATTCTCTTCCTCATTTCCTCTCTTCTTGAGAGAAATGTTTTCTTTTAGTTCCAACTTTGTTGGCTTGCTCTCTCCGGTTATCTCAGCTCTGTCCTTTGCACTTTCTCTCTTCAGAGAAATCTTCTCATGGCTCTCAAGTGTTTTCTCTCCTGTGGACTTCTTAATTCCATGGTCCGACTTGTTTACTTCCAGAGTGTTTACCAAAGTGCTTACCAGTGGTTCCGATTTCATCGATTCTTTTGAAGGTTTCATCACTTCGGATTTTATTTCTTCGGTTAATAATTGTTTCACTTCTGCTGCGATTTTCGTAATTTCTGGTTTGACTTTCTTTAGTTCCGAGTTTTTCTCTTTAGGTTCAGAAGTGCTTACTCCTGGTGCAGTTTTCATCACTTCTGGTGTGGATTTCATTACTTCTGGTGTGGATTTCTTAACTTCGGGTTCAGTTTTCTTTACCTCTGCTTCGGATCTCTTTACTTCCTTCTCAGATTTATTCAGTTCTGATTCTGACTTCTTCGTATCTTTTGTTGGTTTCTTCACTTCCGAAGTGCTTACTTCTGGCTGAGTTTTCATCAATTCCGCTTGTGATTTCATCACTCCCGATGCTGGTTTCTGCTTCTCTGGCTCAGATTTCTTAGCCTTTTCTTCAGATTTGTTTACTTGTCCCTCAGATTTCTTCTCCTCCTGCTTAGATTGCTTCATGACCTGCGCAGATTTATTTGCTTCAGAAGTGCTTACTTGTGGCTCGAATTCCAGGACTTCTGCTTCAGATTTCATCGCTTCTGGTTCGGATGTCACCACTTTTGATTCGGATTTCATCACTTCTGGTTCGAATTTCTTTTCTCCTTCCCCAGATTGTTTCTTGCCCTGTGTAGATTTCTTCACATCCGAAGTGCTTACTTGTGGCTCACATTTCATCACTTCTGGTGCCGATTTCATCGCTTCCAGTTCGGATTCCTTCATTTCAGCTTTAGATTTAACTTCTGGCTCAGATTTCTTCTCTTCCGTCTTCGTTTTCGCCTTCTCCAGCTCAGATTGCATTTCTGACTTAAGTTTCTTCTCCTCAGGTTCCGATTTCTTCTTCTCTAGCTCAGATTTAATTTCTAACACAGATTTCTTCTCTCCCGCCTGCGATTTCTTCTTCTCTAGCTGAGATTTCATTTCCGACTTAATTTTCTTCTCCTCGAGCTCCAAATTCTTTTGCTCTGCCTCAGTTTTCTTCTCATCTGGCTCAGATCTCATTCCTGACTTAGTTTTCCTCTCTTTCAGCTCTGGTGTCTTTCCCTCAGCTTCGGATTTCGTTACTCCCAGTTCCGATGCTTCCATTTCTAGAGACTTTTTCTTTTGCATCGTTTCCTCCACCTTCTCCGAAACTCCTTGCATCGTTTCCCTCAACTTCTCCGAAGTTTCTGGCATAGTTTCCTCCACCTTCTCCAGAACTCCTTGCGTTGCTTCCTCCAACTTCTCCGAAACTAATTCCATCGTTTCCTTAGTCTTCTCCGGAGTTTCTTGCTTCGTTTCCTTATCCTTCTCCTGCTCCTCCTCGTCCACTTCCAAGCCACTCAAATCGAAACCCTGCTGATCATCAGCATGCCGGAAGTTATCGAATTGAAACAGTTTCTCTGCCTCCTTGCGTACCTTTTGATAGCTTTCAATCAGTTTTTGGGCCTCCATTTCCAGGCGTTTTTCCTCCTCGGTTTTCTTGACAAGTTTCACCACCTTCTTGGTGGCGGCTGCTGGTGTTTCGCTACGTTTCAACGCCTGTTTTTCGGCATCCTTGAGCAGCTGATCCACCAAAAGTTGGGATTCATTTTCGAGTAATTTTTTCGTTTCCCCAGTTTGAGGACTTGGCATCTCCCGGGAGCTGGCAAAGATCTCAGGCTTGGCCTCCTCCCTGGTTGTTTCGCTGCGTTTTGTGACCTGGGTATCACCATCTTTGGTCACCGTTAGGGTCTCACTTAACTCCCTGAGTAGCGAGGGTTTCTCTTGACTTGGTGTTAGATTTTCGTTTTGCGGCTTCAATATCTGTTCGGAATCTTCAAAGGTCTCCATTACCTGATGCTCACACTCCATGAGATCCACACCACCCATGTCATTCGCTTGTATTTGTTTACCACACTCCGATAATTTCAAAATACCTCGAGCAATACTTTGATTATCCTGTGGATTGTGGGCCTCCTCCGCTAATCGTGTTTCCGCTTTGGCGGTAACAGTTAGTGGTTGTTGTTGTTCCGAGGCCCCAAAGTTGTCATCCAGACTTTCTTGGCTTTGTACCTTCTTCAGCTTGGCCCGCTCCTTGTGGCTTTCACTGGACTTCTGTACCTTCTCCTCCCCGGTCTGGGCATCCTTGGTGCGTATCTCCGAATAGGCCTTTTGATCGGACTCAAATTGCCGCTCCTCGAGCACGGTTATTTTGGTATTACCTTTCCTCTCATTATAGGGTTGCAGGGTAAATACCGGTTTCTTGCTGGCATCCTGCGGAGATTTGGGTGAGTCGAGCAATTTTTTGAACTCCTCGGGCAAGTTTTGGCTGGCAACAATTTTCTTAAATTCCTCCGGCAGGGCATCAAGCTGGCTGGCCTCCAGCACCTGGGAGGAGCTGGTGGTGGTCGTTGAGGATTTTATGATTTTCTTTGTGGTTGTTGTGGTTCGGGTCTCAGTTTTGGTGGTGGTCTGTTCTGTCTTTACCTCTTGAGATGTTTCCGAGGTTTGGCTATTATCCTCTGAGATTTCCTTGGAGGAACTTTTGCTCACCTCCACAAAGTTTTGTTCTTGTTTTTCGGTATTCTCTGAAATATCCAATTTTTCGGCAATATCTTCAATAACCTTGTTCGGTTCCTGTTCGCTTTGCATATCGCCAGTCGCTGCTATCTTATCTTCTTCGACATTTGGCAATTTTTTGCATTTCACTTTTGTCTCTTCACTCATTTTGTCTATGGCCTTTGATGGGCTCACCTCTTTCAGGGGTTTCTTTATGTTCTTGAGATCCTCAAAGCCTGGTACCGTGGGTGGTAGTACAGGTACTCCAATAAATGGCGGTTTCTTGAGATTTCCCTTTAAAACTTGACTACTGCTGGCTTGGGGTTTTTGATCGGCTTCCAGTTTTTCCAAAATTTCTGGCTTTGAAGCTCCAGCCGTTTTCTGCTGGCTCAAATCATCAACTATGACAATGGGCCTGGGGGATAAAAATACAAAACAATTATTAACTCCCATTTCAAATTTCTGTAAAAATTATCTTTAAACAGACCTGGTCTCAAATCAGAACTCTTTTAAAAATTATCTTCAAATATCGCTTCTCAACGGAAATTAGCTTTGTAATGGTCGTGTCGCTTTTGGTTTACACCACTTTTACTTTTGTTTTCGTCTAACTTGTCGTTTTGTTTTTTCCTTCTCTATTTTTTTCGTAACGTAACCTTAACCTTTTCAATCGGAACTCTATACTAAAATTCCAATTTTCTTCTAGCCAGCATAAGCGTAACGTAGTTTTGCTGATAAGCTCGGCAAGCAAGCACCTGTAAATGAAACCGCTGCACTCACTACCAGCCTGCCTGCCTGCCTTATCATCGGCAAGTTGACGATGATTTCTCATTATTATTATTTTGTACGTTAGTCTGTTTACTTTCCGGCCAGTTTCACAACAAACAAATCAGGTGCACAAAATAGGGGCTATGGCAGAGAAGACTACCCTGGGTACCCTATGCTACCGACATGCTTTTAGAATTTTTCTCTCTTATCTATTCTCTCAATATTTATGAAAAATATTCTTAACATTTACGAACTGTTTTCCCACAAATTTTCTTCAACAATCCATGGATATTTATCCGGAAAATATTCTTCAAAACATCCAAATGCTAAAAATTTTCAAAAAAAATATTTATGAATATTTTTCCTAAAATTCAAAAACTTTTTCCTAAAAATATGCTCAAAATTCCTAGATTTTAGGAATATTTTTTTTTTTGAACAAGGCCCAAAGATTATTTTGAAATAGGTTTCCAAACCTCTTTCCAAAGTCAAGCTTAAATCGACCTCAAATCCAACTACATTCCATTCTCTCAATATTTATGAACATTTTTTCTAAAAATATTTTTAAAATTTACGAAATATTTTCCTAACAATATTCTTCAACAATCCATGGCTATTTTCTTCTGCAAAATATTCTTGAAAATATCCATGAAATTGGTTCCAGAAATGTTGTTAAAAATATTTATAAAATATTTACTTTTTCCTAAAAATATCAGATGAAGAAAAAAATAAAGGGACTACGGCAGAGAAGCCTGCCTTGAATATTCCATATTACCAATGCTCTTTTAACAAATTCTCTCTCATCCATTCTCTCAATATTTATGAAGATTTTTCATAAAAATATTCTTAAAATTTATGATATGTTTTCCTACAAATTTTCTTCAACAATCGATGGCCACTTCTCCGCAAAATATTCTTCAAAACATCCATAAACTAGAAATTTTCAAAAAATGATTATGAATATTTTTCCTAAAATTCAAAAACATTTTCCTAAAAATATGCTCAAAATTCCTGGATTTTAGGAATAATTTTCCTGGGAGTAAGGCCGAAAGATTGTTTTGAAAGATGTTTCCAAACCTTCTGTCAAAGTCTTCCTTAAATCGACCTCAAATCCACCTACATTCCATTTTCTCAATATTTATGAATATTTTTCCTAAAAATATTCTTAAAATTTACGAAAAGTTTCCCTAAAAATATTTTTCTACAATTATGGGTCTTTGTTCCGCAAAATATTCTTTAAAACATCCTTGAACTTTTATCTCAGAAATTATCCTTAAAAATTTAAAAAAATAAATAAAAATATGCTCAAAATTCCTAAATTTTAGTAATAATTTTTCTTGGAGCCAGACCCAAAGATTGTTTTGAAATGAGTTTCCAAACCTCTTGCCAAAATCGTCATTAAATCGACCTACATTCCATTCTCTCAATATTTATGAACATTTTCCCTAAAAATATTCTTAAAATTTTCGAAATGTTTTCCTAAAACTATTCTTCAACAATCCATGGCAATTTTCTTCCGCAAAATATTCTTTAAACATCCTTGAACGTTTATTTTAGAAATTATCCTTAAAACTGTATGAATATTTTTCCTAAAATTCAAAAACTTGTTCCTAAAAATATCAGAAGGAGAAAAAAATTAATGGGACTACGGCAGAAAAGCCTGCCTTGAATACCCTATATTACCGATGCTCTTTACCAAAATTTCTCTCTCATCCATTCTCTCAATATATATGAAAATTTTTCATAATAATATTCTTAATATTTACGAAATATTTTCCTACAAATTTTCTTTAACAATCCATGGCTATTTTTCCGCAAAATATTCTTCAAAACATCCATAAACTAAAAATGTTCAAAAAAATATTTATGAATATTTTTCCTAAAACTCAAAAACTTTTTCCTAAAAACATCAGGTGCAGAAAATATTAATGAACCTACAACAGAGAAGTCTGCCGTGTATACCACCCTATGTTACCGATGTTCTCTTAGAATTGTTCTCTCTTATCTATACTCTCAATATTTATGACCTTTTTTAATTTTTTTTTTCAATTTACGAAATGTTTTCCTATTTTTCCGCAAAATATTCCTCAAAAAGATCCATCAATTAGAAATTTTCTAAAAATATTTATGAATTTTTTTCTTAAAACTAAAAATCTTTTTCTTAAAAATATGTACAAAATTCCTGGATTTTAGGAATATTTTTTCGGAAACAATGCTCGAAGATTTTTATTCCATAGTATGTATAGTATACGTGGAAATCACTCTAGCTCCCGAACGAAATTATATAGTTGATAAAATTTACTCAAATGTATATTATGTCTGCAGGACTTTATCTCAAAGCGACCTATATTCCGTTCCGTCAATAATTATAAACATTTTTCTTATATTTTTTTAGGAAATCTTTTCCTAAAAATATTCTTCAACAATCCATAGCTGTTTGTTCCGCAAAATATTCTTTAAAACATCCTTGAACTTTAATCTCAGAAATTATCCTTAAAAATTTATGAATATTTTTCTTAAAATACAAAAACTTTTTCCTATACATATGCTCAAAATTCTTAGATATTACAAATTATTTTTTTGGGAGCCAAGCCAAAAGATTATATTGAAATAGGTTCCCAAACCTTTGCCAAAGTCTAGCTTAAATCGAACTCAAATCCACCTACATTCTATTCTCTCAATATTTATGAACATTTTTCATAAAAAAATTCTTAAAATTTACGAAATGTTTTCCTACAAATGCTCTTCAACAATCCATGGCTATTTTCTTCTGCAAAATATTCTTCAAAACATCCTTGAACTTTTTTCTCAGAAATTATCCTTAAAAATTCAAAAAAATGAATAAAAATATGCTCAAAATTCCTAAATTTTAGTAATAATTTTTCTGGGAGCCAGACCCAAATATTGTTTTGAAATGGGTTTCCAAACCTCTTGCCAAAATCGTCATTAAATCGACCTACATTCCATTCTCTCAATATTTATGAACATTTTTCCTAAAAATATTCTTAAAATTTACGAAATGTTCTCCTAAAAATATTCTTCAACAATCCATGGCTATTTTTCTGCAAAATAATTCTTGAAAATATCCATGAAATTGGTTCCAGAAATGTTGTTAAATATATTTATGAATTTTTTTCTTATAATTCAAAAACTTTTTCCTAAAAATATCAGATGGAGAAAAAAATTAATGGGACTAAGGCAGAAAAGCCTGCCTTGAATACCCTATAGTACCGATGCTCTTTAAAAAATGTATCTCTCATTCATTCTCTCAATATTTATGAACATTTTTCATAAAAATATTCTTAAAATTTACGGAATGATTTCCTACAAATATTCTTCAAAAATCTATGGCTATTTTCCAGAAAAAAATATTCTTCAAAATATCCATAAACTAAAAATGTTCTAAAAATATTTACGAATATTTTTCCTAAAATTCAAAATCATTTTTCTAAAAATGTGCTCAAAATTCCTGGATTTTAGGAATAATCTTTTTGGGAGCCAGGCCCGAAGAAATTATCCTTACTATGAATATTTTTCTTAAAATTCAAAAACTTTTTCCTAAAAATATCAGATGGAGAAAAAAATTAATGGGACTACGGCAGAAAAGCCTGCCTTGAATAAGGCTGCTTTGAATATCCTACGAAACCGATGCACTCTTTGAATTGTTCTCTCTTATCCATTCTCTAAATATTTATGAACGTTTTTCATAAAAATATTCTTAAAATTTAAGCATCTTTTCCTATTTTCCCACAAATATTTATAAATATTTTTTTTAAAATTCAAAAACTTTTTCCTAAAAATATGTTCAAAATTCCTATATTTTAGGAATATTTTTTTTCCCAAACAATGCTGGGAGATTCTTTTTGAAATAGGTTTCCACACAACTCATGACTCCCCAAAATCGAACTACATTCCATTCCTTATATATTTATGAACATTTTTCATAAAAATATTCTTAAAATCCACGAAATGTTTTTCTTCAAGCATTCTACAACAAAGCATGGCTATTGTTCCGCAAAAAATTTCTTAAATAATTTATGAATATTTTTCTTAAAATTCAAAAATTTTGTTCTAAAAACATTTTCAAAATTCCGGGATTTTAGGAATATTTTTTTTTAAAGCAATGCCGAAAGGTTCTGTTGTAGAAGGTTTTCAAACCATCCATGACTCCTTACTCCAAATTTTCCTGCATTTCATTCTCTCAATATTTATGAATATTTTTCATAAAATTTATGAACATTTTTTCTTCAAATATTTTTCGACAATACATGAATATTTTTCCCGCAAAATATTCTTCAAAACATCCATTAATCAATCAATCAACAAATCCTAGAAATTTCCATTAAATAGTTGTGAACTTCTTTCTTAAAATTAAAAAACTTTTTCCTAAAAATGTATTCAAAATTCTTGGTTTTAGGAACTATTTTCTTTTCGTGCAAGGTTCGAAGATTTTTTGTCCTCCTCTTCACAAAGTCTACCATATCCCATACTACCCTATTTTTCCCTCAACCCATTCCGAATATTCATCAAAACATTCATTAATGCTTTACCTTAACTAATTTGCTCTATTGCTTCCACTACCACGTTCGCTCTCTCTCTCTCTTTCTTCCCATTGCTGTTAGATGCGGTGCTTTATCAATGCCGGTGTCATATGTTTAGCTTGGCTGACTGTTATCACCTCTCAGATATGGGGGAATTTTCTTATCACAACGATTGCATGGGACAAATTGTGATGGCGGTAACAATACCATCAAATTGTTATTGTTTTTGTCTTAACTCTTTGATTTGTTACCCAAAAAATGAATGCGAGCCCCAGCACTCTTTGCCTCTGCCCCAAGTTCAATAATAATTACTCATAATGTTTTGTGGGTAAAAATTATTCCTACTAAAACCAAAAATAGGTCGTCCTCCCCGCCAACAGAAGATAAAGATCGCAATTTTCAAAAAATTGCAATTTGCTTCACACGAAGGTGTGAAGTGGCTGATAAGTATGGAAATTAGAGGCCATAAATTAATTCTGAAGTGTGGGAGAATGTGGGAGTAAATTGGTATCGCAGTGGTGTGAAGAGGGGTAAAGAGGCGATATGAGAAAGGGAGATTCATACAGTTTCAAAGAAGATTGTTGAATCTTGAAATACTATCTTTGGTGTTCCCGGCAAGGATTGTGGATTCCTGTAAATAGCTTTTAGGAACAATGTTCATGGATTCTATGAACAATGTTAGGAACAGAGTTCGTAATCTTTTGAAAATGGTTTCTAAAATTAATTTTCCAGAACAATTTGAGGAAAGAATTTCTTCAAGTTTTAAAAAATAATTTTATTTGAACAAAGTTCATAGATTTTTAAAAATAATTTTAAGAACAAAAGTTCAGAGTATTTTTGGACGAAGTACGTTTTAGGAACAAAGTTCATGAATTTAAAAAAGAAAATAAGTACTTGAAAGAAACAAAGTTCCAAGATTTTTGATAATAATTTTGGGGATTCAGTTAATGGGTCTTAACAAAATTAGGAATAAAATTCATAAAAAATAAGATTAAGGAACAAAGTCTTTGGACTTTTAGGAACACTTTCAAGAACAAAGTTCGTAGATTTTTAAGAACATTAAAAAAAATAAAATGCGTGCAATTTCGATAAGAAAGTTCGTGGATTACAAAAAAAAATAGTCGTCGAATTTTTCAGAGCTCCGTTCGTAGATATTTATTTATATTTTATTTTCAAAGAACCAAGTTCGTAGATTTTTAAGAAAAAAGTTCATAGATTTTTTAAGGACTGTTTTAAAGAACAAAGTTCACGGATCCTAAGGAACAAAGTTCGTGGATTTTTAAGAACTTAGTTTGTGGGACATTAAAAATAGATTTAAAAAATAAATTCGTGAGTTTTTAAAAACAAAGTTCATTGACTTTTATAAACAAAATTCGTGGATTTTTCAGGAAAGAAAAAGATTTAAAAAATAAAGTTCTTTGAATTTTAAGAACAAAATTCATAGATTTGTATGAACAAAGTTCGTGGCTTTTTATGAACAAAGTTCGTAGATTTTTAAGAATAGATTTAAAGAATAAAGTTCGTGGACTTTTAAGAACAAGGTTCATTGACTTTTTAAGAACAAAAGTTCATTGACTTTTATGAACAAAATTCCTGGATTTTTCAGGAACGAGGTTCGTGGCTTTTTAAGAACAAAGTTCATTGACTTTTATGAACAAAATTCCTGGATTTTTCAGGAACAAAGTTTGTGGATTTTTAAGAATAGATTTAAAAAACAAAGTTCATTGACCTTTAAGAACAAAATTCATAGATTTGTATGAACAAAGTTCGTGGCTTTTTATGAACAAAGTTCGTAGATTTTTAAGAATAGATTTAAAGAATAAAGTTCGTGGATTTTTAAGAACAAAGTTTATGGACTTTTAAGAACAAAGTTCATTTATTTTTATGAACAAAGTTCGTGGATATTTCCGGCGTAAAGTTTGTGGATTTTTTAGGAACAAAGTTCGTGGATTTTTGAGAACAAATTTCGTGGATTTTTCAGGAACAAAGTTCGTGGATTTTTGAGAACAAAGTTCGTGGATTTTTGAGAACAAAGTTCGCGGATTTTCGGAATAAAGTTTGTGGTTTTTTATGAACAAAGTTCGTAGATTTTTAAGAATAGATTTAAAGAATAAAGTTCGTGGATTTTTAAGAACAGAGTTAACTAATTTTTATGAATAAAGTTCGTGGTTTTTTAAAGAACAAAATTCGTGGATTTTGAAGAATAGCTTTAATTTACACAGTTCTTAGAACAAAGTTCATGGATTTTCAAGGAACAAAGTTCATGGGTTTTAAGGACAAATTTCGCGAAATTTTAAGAACAAAATTGGTGGATTTTTAATAATGTCTTTAAAGAAGAAAGTTCGTAGATTTTTAAGCTTAGTCTTAAAGAAAAAAATTCGTGGGGTTTTAGGAACAAATTTCATAGATTTTTAAGAACAAATTGGTAGATTTTTTAAGGATGGCTTTAATGAACAAAGTTCGTGGAGTCTTAGAAACAAATTTCGTAGATTTTTAAGAACAAAGTTCGTGGATTTTTAAGAATATCTTTAAAGAACAAAGTTCGTGGATTTTTAAGGTCAGATTTAAAGAATAAAGTTCGTGGGGTCTTTGGAACAAATTTCATAGATTTCTAAGAACAAAGTTCGTGCGATTTTAGGAACAAATTTCATAGATTTTTAAGAACAAAATTGGTAGATTTTTTAAGGAAGCACATTTCGTAGATTTTTAGGGATGTCTTTAAAGAACAAAGTTCGTGGATTTTTAAGGTTGGTTTTAAAGAACAAAGTTTTAAAGAATAAATTTCATAAATTTTTAAGATCAAAGTTCGTGGGGTTTGGGAATAAATTTCATATGTTTTTAAGAACAAAGTTGGTTAATTTTTTAGGAACACAGTTTGTGGATTTTGAAGAACAAATTTTGAGAACTTTAAACAACGAAATTAGTGGATTTTTTTAAGAACGAAGTTCATAAACTTTTACGATCTAAGTTCACAGATTTTTACGGATAAAGATCGTGCATTGTTGTACCCTCAGCCACATGGCTGGAGAGGGTATATATCATTTGATACAGCCAAAACGTGTCTCATCAAAATAACGGTTTTAGACTCTAGGTCTCTTTGGACCAAATCCGTTTCAGGACATTTGGAGTCGATCTAGCGATGTCCGTCCGTCCGTCCGTCTATCTGACTGGCTGATGCGCAAGATAACTCTCGAAGGAAGCATCCGATTTATTCCAAACATGGCACATCGCAACATTATTATCAAACTTACATTGCGCTCGGAGATGGGCAATATAGGTCCACTCCTTCTGGTACCTCCCCCAAAAAAATCGTAATTTTCAGAGAAAATATTTAAACGGCACAGGCAGTGAAAGAATTATCCGATTTTCCTCCAACTTTACAAATCCTAATATTTTCATCAGTTCTAGGTTAGGTGCAAAAATGGATAATATCGCTCCACTCCATCAAGTACCTCCCCCACAAAGGGTAAAAATTTTGAATAATTATAACTCTTTTGAAATATGATGTAATAGTCCGATTGTCCGAATTACACACATCACAATATTTTTATTAGCCCAAGGTCTGCTGTGAAGATGGAGTATATCGGTCCACCCTTTCTGGTACCTCCCCCACAAAGTGTCAAAGTTTTGAATACCCACGAAGCTCATGAAACGCAGAAATTAACATCCGATACCATTCAGACTGGGCACATCTCAATATTTCCATCAACACAAGATCTGTTATAAAAATGGTGAAGATCGAACCATTTCTTTTGGTACCTCCCCCTCAAAGGGTCAAAATTTTGAATAACCGAAACGATCATAAAATCCGAAATAAGCAACCAGTTCTCTTCATCTTTTACACATCCCATTATTTTTACCAACTCAGGATCGGCCGTAACAATAGGATTTTAGGGTCCACTCCTTCTGTCACCTCCCCCACAAAGGGACAAAATTTTGAATATTCCCAAAGCTCATAAAACGCGAAATTAACATCCGATTCCATTCAGGCTGAGTACATCTCAATATTTCCATCAACACAATATCTGTTAGAAAGATGGTGGATATCGGACAATTTCTTCTAGTACCTCACCCACAAAGAGACAAAATTTTAAAAAATCGAAAAAAAATTCACTGGATTTTAGAAATATTTTCAGGAATAAAATTCCTAAATTCCTAGGAATATTATTCCTCATTTAAAGCTAACTCCCTACTCACCCATTTGTGTTCAGCGACTGCAGTTCCAGCGATGAGCATTCCTCCTCCACCTCACCAATGGTGGGTAGCATATTTGAGTGCCAATAGAGATTGAAATAGGCCTCGGAAGGTCCAGGACCATTGATTAACTCCGGTGGACCCAATTTCTCGCCATCCTCACAAATGTAATCCTTGTCATCATCATAGGCTCCACTCAAATCGGTTTCATTCTCCTCGTCACTGCTCGAACTTGAGTAGTACATGGGAGCGGTGGCATCATTGACTTTGACACACTTACCCACCACCACCAGGGGAGGGGGTGTAATGCGGTCTAACTCATCTTCTGGCTCTGGTTTAAGTTCTTTTTGCTCCTGACTGGTGCTGCTGTTACTCGGTGGAGTTGAGGCCTTAAAAGTGGAGAATTCATCATTTTTCCTGGCCGTATCGGGACTGTTGCGCCTCTGCAGTTCAAAGAGACTGGGTAGCTCTTCGGGTTCCTGGAAGGCATTGTGATTGTTGCCGTTGTTGCTGTTCGCATTGTAGGTTTGTATTTTAAAACGTATCTCCCGATTTGGGGAGGGTGGTGTTAGGGGTTTCTCCATTTGCTTGGGCGGTGAGGGTTGCTTAAAGGTCTGCATGGCAGGCAGGGGTGAGCTGTGAGGAGAGTTGAGAGAATTTGTGCTGGAGCGATCCACAACCGTGACTGTGGTCACATTTGCCTTGGGTATTTGTGTTTTGTTCAAGGACTGCACTCGTTCCGGGGGCTTGGGTTTGGGTCCCCTGGCAGATTTCCCTCCTAAGGTGGGAGTACTTCCTGTGGAATTGGAATTCAAGCTTTCCGTGGACGAGGTACCACCATTAGAGCTATTGTTGACATGTAGCACCGGTATTAGGGTCCTTTCGGGCATTTTTATTTTCGAATCGGCTGAAATGGTCCTTTGCAGGGGTATCTTACTGGACATTGTGGGACTGTTTTCCTTAGAGCGACAATAGTTGAGCTTCAGGTCAGTTTCAGATTTCTGCTTGGTTAGCAGCCGTGGTATGTTTGTGGGCGACTTCTGAGAGGCCTTCTTTTCCAGTGAAGATTCCAAATCCAATGACCTTTTGGGGGTCAGGACAATGGGGATACGAGATTTGACAGGAGAAGCTGGCTTTTGGAGTTTGGTTTCCAATTTCTGGCCATTTGTTGATTCATGGGTCAGAAATTCCGAGGTTTGCAATTTCAGTTTGTCCTGTTTTGTGATTTCCTGTTTCAGTTTGATTTCACTTTCGGTCTTGGCCCTCTCCAGGGAGCGATATTGGCTGCTGGGCGAATGGATGGCCTTGGGTATTTTTGTGGTAAATTCTTTGGTGGCTGGTGGCTCTTGGAAGGACTTGCCAGTGACTGGGGAGGTGGTGGTGGGAGATTTCGTGTTCTGATTTTCTGAGTTGGATTTTATCATGGCCCCCTCGGGAATTTTGGGTGGCGGCACCTCAATGGCTTGTTTGCCATTTATGCTCAGCTTGCGGGGCATGGGTATAATGGATCGTTTCTTGGGTTCCACGGGCGATGTTGGCACCTGTTGTCTAGGTTTGGGTGTGGGAGTGGGGGACTGCTTGCTCTCTGTGGTCACAATTTCTTGCTTCGCCTCCCTACTTTTATCCACCTCATCCTTGGCCACAGGATCCTCCTCTTTCCTCTTCAGTTCTACATTTTCATAATTGTTGATTTTCTCGGTTTTAAATTCCACATTTTCATAATTATTACCCGGTTTGAAGCTCACCTCCATTACCTCGGTAATGAGAGAGCTATCCAAACCTCCCTCTACCTTGAATTCCTGTTCCAAGAGGGCAAATGGCTTCAAAACTTTGGCCAGTTCGGATTTCACGCCATTGTTCTGGCCATTATTCAAGGATGTAAATCCCGAAAGATCTGATTCCGATGAGTAAGTTGAGGTCATGGAGTAACGATCTATTACCGTGGATATGGTGCTGGCCGTATCATCCGATTCCGACTCACCATTGCGTGAGGGATTCCTTAGCAGGGAACCATTTGGGCCATTGTTTTCGGCAAATAAGTTGATATAATATTCGGCATCGGGTGGCGGGGTAAAGGAACGCTCCGCAGACATTTCCACAATTTCCATTGTCCTGTTGGGCGCCATTTCGGGCCTTTCGCTGTCCTTGAAAGATCTTTGCTTTTTGATCAATTTCCTGGGCGGCACTGGTGGCGGTGGAGGCGGGGCTGCCTTCATGTGACCATTGCCTGCATTGGGCAACAAATTGTGTTGCTGCTCCCCAGACCCCTCCTCCTCAAAATCCATGGGCTTCAAACCCCTACCATTTCGTACCACCAGTTTTATGGCCACATTATCCTTTAAACATTTCACACATTCTATCCGTGTCATATCCCGCACGTAATGCTCATCGATTTTCACAATTTCATCTCCCTCCTTGAGTTGGCCCCATGAGGTGACCACCTTGGAGGCGGGACTATCCTTGGCACATGATTGTATGAATAATTTTTGTACTTTTTCGGCACTGCGAGTGCCACCTTGAAACTTCAAGCCAAAGCCCAAGCGTTCACCAACCAAACGATAGACCACCACCTCTTCGGTGTCATCACCGATCAGGTTTGTGGCTTTGCTATGGCCCTCCACCTCAACTGTGGTGGGTTGATGTTGCAGCTCTTGTTGGTGGTGATTTGTGTTGTTATTGTTGTTGATCGATAACACCGTTATAAATGAGGGATCATCAGCCGATAGTGCCGTTCCATTCGTTGAGTTTTGTTGTGGTGAATTGGCCAGCAATGAGTTTGTGTCTTTGGATGACTGAGGATCATCCACCTCTACCACAGTAACATAATCAGCCATGGTGGTGTAGTACTCCCAACAATTGAGGCATAGGGTGTAAAACTAGGGAAATTACAGCTTAATTGTAACTCCACTTCGCTAGATGGCGTTGGCTGGAAAGAGAATAGAAATTTTCAAAATTATTTTCGGGCCACCAAAAATTTAGGGATATTTTTAAGATTTTTAAAAACATTAAAATTTTAAAATATTATTACGGAGGCCCCCAGCCCACCAAAAAACACCGATACGAACTCTTTTTCTGTAGCAAAAAAAAAATAATTTGCAGCAAATTGGGAAAAAATGGAGAACATTTTCAAAAAATAAATCAAGTTTTTTTAATAACAAAAATTGATAATAGTTTTTCATGGTAAATATTGAATATACAAATTTCTTGTGTTCTGAGACTCACAATGAAATTCGATCTAGATTAATTGTTCCTTTGACAACTTCCCCAAAAAATTAAGTTCTAAGGGAGATTTTGACTTCGATTGGAAACCCATTAAATTTAAAGTTAAAAAAGCTAACACATAATTTTCCTTTGCAGTACTCACATTTCGAGTTTAATTTTCTTAAAAACTGTAGAACCTAGACATATAGTTTATTCTGAGATTTATACTGAAATTTAGTATAGAATATTTCTTCTTTTAGTACCTTCCGTCTAAAACAAAATGTTATGTTACCTTTAGGCGTCAACTTGAAAAAAACCCGAAGCAAAATGTATATAAAAAATTTATGTGTTTTGTGTTTCTGTGGCAACATTGCTGCTAATATTTTCTAGATGTACAATGGAAAAAATGGATTTATTTTCTTTAGAGACTTATAGTGGAATTTGATCTAGAATAATTCTTCCTTTGACACTTTGCCCAAAAAGTGGAAATTATAGGAGATTCTGACTTAGAATGGAAAATTGTTAAATTAGCAATAAAAAATCGTTAACACATATTTCGCTTGTAGTGCCCGAAATTCGAATGTAATTTTCTTAAAAACTGTTAGGCCTAGACATATAGTTTATTCTGAGATTTATAATGAAATTTTGTGTAGAATATTTCCTCTTTTGACAATTTTTGCCTTAAACGAAATTTTTATGCAAATTTTAAGAAAAATGTATCCAAAAAATAGACGTCGTTTGTGTTTCCTTGGCAACATTGCTGCTAATATTTTCTGGATGTATAATGGAAATATGGATTTTTTTTCTTTAGAGACTTATAGTGGAATTTGGTCTAGAATAGTTCTTCCTTTGACACTTTGCCCAAAAAGTGGAAAATTATAAAAGATTTTGACTTAGAATGGAAAGGTGTTAAATTATAAGCAAAAAGAGGCAAATACAAAATTTTCCTTTGTAGTACTCACATTTCGAATTTAATTTTCTTAAAAACTATTAAACATAGAAATATGGTATATTCCAGGCTTTTTAGAAAAATTTTGAGTAGAATATTTCTTCTTTTAGCACCTTCCGTCTAAAACGAAATTTTATGTTACTTTCAGGCGTTAACTCAAAAAAAAGTTCGAAGAAAAATTTATTCAAAAAATAGATGTATTTTGTGTTCCTTTGGCAACATTGCTGCTAATATTTTCTGGGTGTATAATAGAAATATTGATTTCTTTTCTTTAGAGACTTATAGTGGAATTTAGTCTAGAATAATTCTTCCTTTGACACTATTCCCAAAAAGTGGAATATTATAGGAGATTTTGACTTAGAAAGAATTTTGTTATTTTGGCAGTAAAAAAAGTAAACACATAATTTTCACTAAAAGTACATACATTTCGAATGTAATTTTCTTAAAAACTATCAAACCTAGGTAAATCGTTTGTTCTGAGATTTATGGTCAAGTTTTGTGTAGAATATTTCCTTCTTTGACACTTTTTGCCTACAACGAAATTTTATTATTAATATTAGGCTTCAACTCAAAAAAAAAAAATCCCAGAAAAAAAGATCAATAAAATTAGAAAATATTTACAGGCATTTTTTGATTTGCAATGCAAAATAGAGATTTTCGTTTCTTTGGCAACTTGTAGTGAAATTTGATGAAGAAAATTTTTGTCTTTAATATTATCCTTCTAAAACGATGTTTTGTAGTAGAATTTTGCAAAAACTCAACCACAAAAATATGTTTTTAATATTTGGGAAACATTTTCGCTGTTTTTAGGCAATATTGAGGCAACTATTTTCCAGATATATAATGGAAATAGAAATTTCTTTTCTTTGGTAACTGATAGTGAAATTTGATGAAAAATATTTTTTTCTTTAACATAATCTTTCCAAAATTAAATTTTGTAGGAGATTTTTGCCAAAACTCCAAATATGGCTTTATCCGTAAAATGTATTTTTTAATATTTAAGAAATATTTTCTCGCTTTTTTGGCAACATTGAAACACATATATTTCTGATATATAATTGATACAGAGATTTCTTTCCTTTGGCGACCTATAGTGAAATTTGATGAAGAATATATTTGTCCTTTACGCCATCCTTCTAAAATGATACCTTGTAAGAGAATTTCACCTAAACTCAAATTAAGCACAAAATGTGATTTTAATATTTAAAGAGATATTTTCGCGTTTTTTGGGCAACATTTAGGCTAATATTTTTTTTTGATATACAGTCGAAATACAGATTCCTTTTCCTTAGTGACTTATAGTGAAATTTGGTGGGGATTATTTTTGTCCTTGACATCATACTTCTAAAATGTTTCTTGGTAGGAGAATTTTGCATAAACTCACATTAGGCAAAAAATGTGTTTTTAATATTTAGGGAAAACTTTTCGCGTTTTTTTTTTACGATATTGAGTCAAATATTTTCCTGATATATAATGGATGTACACATTTCTTTTCTTTGGCCACCTATAGTGAAATTTGGTGAGGAATACTTGTGTCCTTTACGCCATCCTTCTAAAATGATGCTTTGTAGGAGAATTTTGCCTAAACTCAAATTAAGCATAAAATGTGATTTTAATATTTAAAGAGATATTTTCGCGTTTTTTGGGCACCATTTAGGCTAATATTTTTTTGATATACAGTCAAAATACAGATCCCTTTTCCTTAGTGACTCATAGTGAAATTTGATGAGGATTATTTTTGTCCTTGACATCATTCTTCCAAAATGATGCTTTGTGGGAGAATTTTGCATAAACTCACATTAGGCATAAAATGTGATTTTAATATTTAAAGAGATAATTCGCGTTTTTTGGCCAACATTTAGGCTAATATTTTTTTGATATAGAGTCGAAAAACAGATTTCTTTTCCTTAGTGACTTATAGTGAAATTCGATGAGGATTATTTTTGTCCTTGACGTCATTCTTCTGAAATGATACCTTGTGAGAGAATTTTGCATAAACTCACATTAGGCATAAAATGTGTTTTAAATATTTAGGAAATCTTTTCGCGTTTTTTTTTCGGCAACATTGAGGCAACTATTTTCCGGATATATGATGGATGTATACATTTCTTTTCTTTGGTGACATATAGTGAAATTTGATTAAGAATATTTGTGTCCTTTACGTCGTCCTTCTAAAATGATACCTTATGAGAGAATTTTGCCTAGACTCAAATTAAGCATAAAATGTGATTTTAATATTTAAGAGATATTATAGCGTTTTTTTTTTGGCAACATTGAGGCAAATAATTTTCAGAAATGCAGTGGAAATAGAGATTTATTTTCTTTGGTGACTTATAGTGAAATAACCTAAGGAATATTTTTTTCTTTAACATCATCCTTCCAAAATGATGTTTTGTGGGAGATTTTTGTCAAAACTCAAAATATTGGCTTTACGCATAAAATGTGATTTTAATATTTAGGAGATATTTTCGCGTTTTTTTGGCAACATTGATGTAAATATTTTTGGGATATACAATGAAAATAGAGATTTTTATTCTGTGGTGACTTGTAGTGAAAATTAATGAGGATTATTATTGTCTTTGACATTATCCTGCTAAAACGATGTTTTGTTGGAGAATTTTGCCTAAACTCATATAAAGTACGGCTTTAACCCTAAAATGTCTGCTTAATGTATGTGAATTTCTAGTATTTGGGTGAGATTAAGACTTTTGATGTCTTCTAGGACCCATAGTAGAATTTTATGACAAACAATTCTGTGGAATATTTTGACTTGTAGGATCCCATTTTAAGGGAGTTTTTAACCAAATTTTTTGAAAAAGGACCAAAAAGACCCCTTTGGTGACTGGCAGGAGGGTTAAAAATGTCCACCAAAATAATCCTCGTACTCTAATCTACAATATTGCCAAAGACACTATATACCTAAAATGTAAGGATTCCAAGGAATCTTATTCGGAAAATTTCCAAAAATGTGGAAGAGGGTGGAATATGTCCGTTTTAGGAAATTTTTATGCTCGAGGACTATTGAAAATATATTTCAGTCCGTAGATTTTCAAGAATATTTAATATTTTAGAATTTTATGACAAATAATTTTGTAGAATGTTTTGCCTTGCCAGGATCCCATTTTAAGGGAGTTTTTAGCCATATTTTTGAAAAAAGACCAAAAAGACCCCTTTGGTGACTGGCAGGAGGGTTAAAAATGTCCACCAAAATAATCCTCGTATTCTTATCTACAATATTGCCAAAGACACTATATAACTAAAATGTAAGGATTCCAAGGAATTTTGATCCGAAAATTTCCTAAAGTGAGGTGGATGGGGGAACTTGTCCGTTTTAGGAACTATTTAGGCTCTAATTTTTCTGAGAATATTTTTTACTCCGTGGATTTTTTGGAAAAATTAAAGGCTCGTAGATTTTCAATCATATTTTAGGGTCGCGGATTTTTTAAGAGAAGACATTTTCGAGTCTTTTCTTGAGAATATTTTTAGGGTCTTAAATATTTAAACCTATTTTGAGGCCCGTGGACTTCGTAGAATATTTGTTTGTATCAAAGATTTTTAAGAATTTCTTAGATTCCTAAATTTAAGGACTCAATCTCTCAAATCGCCAGGGTTGGAAAGTCTTCAAATCAATCTCTGTTACCCATTACCACTACCTCTCCCATCCAACATTTCTTCGAAAAAAAATGCCATCCACCCAACCTGTCTTTCAAAGAAAATTTTTGGGATTTTTCCCGATTTTCCTTTTTTTTTTTCTACTCAACACTACATCAAAGCTA